TTGTGTCGCTGTTGCTTGTTTTGTTGTGGTTGCATGTTTTGCTGTTGCTTGTTTTGTTGTTGCTGCTTGTTTTGCTGCTGTTGTTCTTGTTGCTTGTGTTCTTTTTTTGTTCCTTCTGTTGTTGTTGCTTGATGTTGCCTCCTTTGTTTTTACCTCTATTGTAGCTTGTGTTTTTGTTGCTTGTTTTGTTGCTGCTTATGTTGCTGTTGTTTGTTTTGCTGCGGTTGTAGCTGCTTGTGTGTGTTTTTTCTGTTGTTGCTCGTGGTGTTGTTGCTTTTGTTGCTGATGCTTGTGAAGTTCTTGTTGCTTGTGTTGTTGCTTTTATTGTGGCTGTTGCTTGTGTTGTTGCTGTTGCTTAGTTGTTGTTGCTTTTTTGTCCTTGTTGCTTGTAGTGTTCTTGTTTGTTGTTGTTGCTTCTGTTGTTGGTGGTGGTGTTTTAATGATTGTGCTGTTTTGATTGTTGTGGTTGCTTTTATAGTGGCTGATATTGTTATTTCTGTTGTTTTTGCTGTTACATTGGACAATCATTTAACGTTGTTGTTGCCATTGCTGCTTTTGTATGTGTTATTGTTATCATTGTTGTCGTTGTTGTTGCTGTAGTTTCTGTTGTTAATGCTGTTACTGTCGTTGTTGCTGTTGTTGTAATTTCTGTTTGTGTTGGTACTTTTGCTGGCTATTTTGTGGTTGATGCACAGTCCGCGGCGACAGCGCCAGCCATGGGGAGCTAAATCCCCAGTCTCAAAGACCCCCTTCCCCCTCCTTGGCCTCTTTCCATCGCCTAGACATGATCAGTCTTGCAGACATCTCATTTCCCTGGTTACCAGTTTTTGTGTCTGGTTTGTTGTGGATCACCATGTTTGGCACGGGTATCCAAGAAGGATTCAAGTTTCTTTGTGTTGGATGTTTCCTTGTTCTGATCGTGATTTCCCCAATACTTTCTCTGTTTTACTATATCGGACATATCTTTACTGAATGTTGGTGGCACTCAGATGCTTGTTTAATGCCTTCGCACTCTACCATACTATTTAGTGCCTCTTTGTGTTTTTTGACATCACCTCTGCCATTTCATTATGCTGACTCTCATATTATTAGCTTTGCATTCCTCATTCAAAATGAAGGTTTTTTTTTTTTTTTTTTAGTTTGACCAGTGTGTGCGTCTTTTGTAGGACGACTTCCATGTCCAGCTTCCACGGGAATGTTAAAGAGTAGACTAGTGCTCCGAGTTGTCTGAGCCTATCAGACAAGATTAGAACTAATCCTTGAGAATCGAGGGGTGAGGCGCATTGCCATGCTATGCTAATAAGTTAAATTTTTAAAATATCACTTCAAGCCGTCAAAAAAAAAAAAAAAAACTGACACGTGGGAGGCTGTTCCGCTGGACTGGACTACAGAGCGAACGTCTATCCGTAGCAACTTGTGAGGCATCTAGAAAAAAAAAGGGCAGCTAAACCGCAAGAAAGACCCGTACAACAGACACTGTTCCCTGCACTCTTTGTCCTAGATCCCTCTTTGCCTCTATTAGACTTATAAGTCACATTCGGATTCCCAATCGAATTTAGCTTCATGAGGGATTATTAAAAGAATGGTCTTTATCAACTGTATTTGGCGAACACAGAAATGTAAGTATCTGGGCACATGGATGACATCAGATCGAAGATGCATAACTGAGATAAGAAACAGAATAGGACAGGCAAAAACTGCATTTTATCAAATGAAGAATATCTTGTGCAATATATCCTTGTCATTGAGAGTTAAAAAAGAATTCTTGCTTGCTACGTACATCCAGTTTTAACCTATGGCTGTGAATCCTGGACAATCGGTAGGCAGGCCAAACAATTTCTTGAAGTCTTAGAGATGTGGTTTTACAGAAGAATGCTTAGAATACCTTGGTCAGCCAAAAAGAGCAACCAACAGGTTTTGAAAGAGGCAGGAGCTCGAAGACAACTTATCACAGACATTAGAATGAGACACTCATAATTTTTCGGCTATGTTTTGAGAAAGGGAAAAATAGAACATGTGACCACTGGAAAGATTTGTGGAAGGAGGGATAAAGGAAGACAACGAGAGAAGATTATTGACAGTCTTGTTGCATGGCTTGGAGGTGTGTCGGCACACGAACTGATACATGCTGCAGGAGATCGTGGATTATGGAGAGGCATGGCACCTGATGATGATGGACGAACAACAACAACAAATTAAATTCGCACTGTTTACTCTGGCAATAGAATCAGAGGTTAGCGAGCAGCCGACCGTCTCATAGCCAAGATCTGAGACATTCACATATTTCATCAGCCAGTCTGTCAAATGACTTACCAGTTGAGGTCACTGTGTACCGATAGCCACAATTTCAAATGTTTACACATTTTATCAGCCCGTCTGTCAAACGGCATACCAGTTGAGGTCACTGTGTACCCATAGCCACAAAATTATATTGTCAAAAGGCATATGCATTGCCATTTTTTCATCCTTTAGCATGGTTAGGAAGATCAGGACAGGCATGCTTCGGGCGGAGTGGCATGTTTCGCTGCGGAAGACACGGGTGAGGAGTATTGTCTGGATTTTTTCACCGGGGGACGCAGGTATGTTGGGAAATGAACAGGCGGACAAACTGGCTGGCTCTGCACAGCTTTGTGGAATACTGATGCATAAGGCAGAGGTGGTTAGTATTGTGTGGGAGAGCGTGTACAGTTAAGAGGAGCAGATGGATCAACACAGTCTGGTGAGATTGATGCAGGGGGGAGTGACGAGAAGTTCTGGCAGATGCTCGAGGCTCAGAGGAAAGGCAAAGCGGACGTTTAATGAGAATTATACTAGCACCATTAGTATCGGATCTCTTCGCTGGCTGCTGAAGATGAGGACGGAGCTTATGGGAATGCACCGAGTGCTGTGATGTCGGTTCTTAAATCAAACCAAATCAAATCAAATCAAATCCATACTTAGAATGCTTCTGAAAGCCAAACGTTTCATCAGCCATTTATCGTCACTCACATTACACTTGTCAACTCAAAAATGGCAAATACAGTCATCGCTTCACGGACTAAGCTGGTATCTGACGCTAACCCTTTATCTGACCTGGGATGAAAGCCTGGCCAAGCACGTATGTATCTTCGTTAAGATGGAATACATTAAAACCAACTTTTCTTGGAAGCGGTTATGGCTGCTGCATCGGAGAAGTGAGCAGATATGTGATTACCCAATGTGCCGGAGCGTAGAATGTGGTAGCCTAAAATAGCATCATATATTTGTGTCACGTGCCGCCTGACTCATTAAGAACTTCTGGAAAATTTCGACCCATCAATCATCATCATCCTCCCCCTCATCATCCCCAACTATCACTACCCCACCATTATCATCATTACATTAGCCCCATCATCAATATCACCCTTACTATCACCATTATCATCTACATGCTCGCCACAACTGGTTATTAATTGCAGAATTGGTTTAGTTGTTCTAGATTATGAAGAATCTCGCTAACCGTCGTCTCTCTCTCTCTCTCTCTATCTCTCTCTCTCTCTCTCTCTCTCTCTCTCTCTCTCTCTCTCAGTCTCTCTGTCTCTCTCCATCTCTCTCTCTGTCTGTCTCTCTATCTCTCTCCATCTCTCTCTCTCTTTCCATCTCTCTCTCTCTCTCTCTCTCTCTCTCTCTCTCTCTCTCTCTCTCTCTCTCTCTCTTCATCACTGTTCCTACAACTCACTCTCGGGATTCTCTCCCTTATTGTGTCAATCTTCTCCATTTTTCTTTTTGTGATCTCTGACTGTTCCCTCCGTATTGTGTCAATGTTCTCCTTATGTTCTGTCAGTATTCTGTAGGTGTTCTAGCTATGTTCTCACTAAATATTTTTCTAACGTTCATCTTCATCATTCTGTACCACTACGTGTCGTTGGGTCAACAGTTTCTGTTGACTGTCTGATCAGCTTTCTCCACTTTTGGCGGTCAGTTGCGATGGACTGCGTGTTTGCATGCCTGAGGCCTGCCCATCAATCAGGTTCTGTAACCAGGTATTTCTTGGTTTTCTCTCTTCTGAACCATGCAGTATTGTTTTTGAGAGGCCGTTAGATCTTATTATATGTCCATACCATTGCATTTTTCGACTTTTCACTGTAGTTAAAAGAAGTTCATAGTTGCCTGTGTGCTGTATAATTTTATAGCGAACTTCGTCGTTTGTAATGTGGTCTCTGAATGATATGCCAATAATTTTTCTGAAATATCGAATTTCTAATGCTTGTATCTTTCTTTAAGTTCAGCTGTTAAAGTCCAAGTTTCACAGCTATATGTAAATTTACTAATAGCTAGTGCTCTGAGAAATCGAATCTTAGTTTTACATGAAATGTTTTTAGATTCCCATAATGTTTGCTGCTTGGCAAGGACTGATGTTGTCTGGGCAATCCTAGACATGATTTCTGGTCTTGACTCCAAGTCATTTAAAACGGATCCTAAATATTTAAAATGAGTCACTTCTTCTAATGTGTGGCCTTTAACGTAGATTGGTGTCTAACGTCACATCAATGTTTTGTTCAAATTCTCCTAATTTTCTTCTTACTCTCAATGGATGCCTTCTCTTCGTAATTCTGGTTTGTGTTATGAAGAATATAGTTTGGGTCTGTGATACACATAAACAGTCACTTCACACAGCTGTTTTAGCTGACCTAGTCTCTGTGTTATTGAGGGTGAAACAATCTTCACACATTAAAATCAACTGTGTGAGAAAAACAACTGAACAGCTGCTGATACTGATCGACCAACCAGATACAGAACATCAAGTACTTCATGAGTAAGTAATATCCCATCAAAGGCCATCCTTTGAGTTTTACAGTAAACAGTGCTAGATCTGAAAAGATTATCACGTGAAGACAAAAGGTTTCATTTTGCTAGCAGATAGAACTGGTCCAGGAGAAGCAGCTGGCAAGGAAAGAGTATATAAACTACAACAAAGCAGCCAGTGGTATGTTGAGCGAGTGTTGACTGAAGTTTGATCTACTCTCAGCGACCAGTCAGAGATGTTTGTGCTGCACGTGATGGTTCTACTGCTGACTGTCGCAGCCATGTCCGAGGCTGTAGTCGTAAAGCGGAGTGAGTAGTAGAAAGATCTTGTGTGTGTGTGTGTGTGTGTGTGTGTGGTTGTGGTAATGTTTAATGAGGTGATGATAGCTGTAAAGATGATAACGATGATAATGATGATGTAGTTACCGTGATGATCATCGTAATGCTTGTGAAATCGATAGTGTTGATAATGTTAGAGTTAAAGTGTGTTGTAGTTATAGTGGTGATGTTGATGATGTTCGTGGTGATGCTGTGAACGTTTGTGGTGATGTTGATGTTTGTGGTGATGCTGGGGACGTTCGGGATGTCGTATTGTTGATGATGTTTGTGGTGTTACTGATAACTTTTGCGGTGATGATTGTGGTGACGTTGATTAAGTCTGTGGTGATGTTGTAGACGTGTGTGGTGACGTTGATTGAGTCTGTGGTGATGTTGTGGACATTTTCGTGATTTTGATTAAGTCTGTGGTGATGTTGATGTCGTTTGTGGTGACGTTGATTAAGTCTGTGGTGATGTAATGGACTTTTTTCGTGACGTTGATTAAGTCCATGGAAATATTTATGTCGTTTATGGTGACTTTTATTGAGTCTGTGGTGATGTTGTGGACGTTTGTGGGGATGTTGATTACGTCTGTGGTGATGCTGTCGACTTTTGTGTTGACTTTGATTAAGTCTGTTGTGATGTTGATGTCGTTTGTGGAGATGTTGATTAAGTCTGTGCTGATGTTGTGGACGTTTGTGGTGATTTAGTGGACGTTTGTGGTGATGCTGATGTCGTTTGTGGTGATTTAGTGGACGTCTCTGGTGATGCTGATGTCGTTTGTGGTGACGGTGATTAAGTCTATGGTGATGTTGTGAACTTTTATGCTAACGTTGATTAGATCTGTGGTGACGTTGATTAAGTATGTGGGAATGTTGGTGTCGTTTGTGGTGACGTTGATTTAGTCTGTCGTAATATTGATTAAGTCTGTGGGATGTTGTGGACGTTTGTGGTGATGTTGATTAAGTCTGTAGTCATGTTTTTGACGTTTGTGGTGATGTTGATTAAGTCTGTAGTCATGTTTTTGACGTTTGTGGTGATGTTGATTAGTTCTGTAGTCATGTTTTTGACGTTTGTGGTGATGTTGATTAGGTCTGTAGTCATGTTTTTGACGTTTGTGGTGATGTTGATTAAGTCTGTAGTCATGTTGTTGACGTTTGTGGTGATGTTGATTAAGTCTGTAGTCATGTTTTTGACGTTTGTGGTGATGTTGATTAGGTCTGTAGTCATGTTTTTGACGTTTGTGGTGATGTTGATTAGGTCTGTGGTGGTGTTCATTAAATATGTGGTGATGTTGATTAAGTCTGTGGTCATGTTGATTAAGTCTGTGGTCATGTTGAAGACGTTTGTGGTGATTTTGATGGCATGTACGTTTATCTTGGTGACGTGTGTGTTGATGTTTACAACCTTTGTGGTAATACTGATAATTTTTGGTGATGTTGGGGACGTTTGTCTTGTGATGATGTTGATGATGTTTCTTGTGATGTTGATGTCGTTTGTGGTGATGTTGATACAGTTTTTTATGATGTGTGGTACGTTTGTTTTAATTTGCTTGACGTTTATGGTGATGTTGGAGACGTCTGTAGTGCTGTTGACGACGTTTGTGATTACGTTGATATCCTTTGTGATGATATTGGTGGTGATGGTGGCGATGGTGATGGTATATATGATGATTATAAAAATGGTGGTGTTGATGACGATGTTGGTGGTGATGATGATCATGGTGATGATGATAATGGTGGTGTTGATGACGATGTTGGTTGGGATGATGATGGTGGTGATTGTGATAATGGTGGTGTTGATGATGATGTTGGTGGTGATGATGATGGTGGTGATGGTGATAATGGTGCTGCTGATGACAATGTTGGTTGTGATGATGATGATGATGCTGGTGGTGATGATGATGGTGGTGATTATCATAATGGTGGTGTTGATGCTGGTGTTGGTGGTGATGATTGTGATAACGATGGTGATGGTGATGATGGTGGTGGTTGGGGTGATGAGGATGGTGGTGGTGCTGATGGTGATAATAATAATAATGATAAACTTTCTTCTCTTCTTTAATGGCTTAGGCAAACCTGTCCGAGAGACTAGATGCTTCTATAATAGTGTTTGGTATAAGAACGGACAACGAATACCTGATCCTTGCAACATTTGCGTCTGTTCCAATGGCCAAGCGATTTGTACTTTGAGGGCCTGCCTCTATGGTTTGTTTGTGTTTGGTTGTCGGCTGACCTGTTTGTGCGTATGTTTGATTATCTGCGTCTCTGTCTGTTTGTCTGTCTGTTTTACTCTCTCTCTGTCTCTTTCTCTCTCTCTCTCTCCCTATCTCTCTCTATTTCTCTCTGTGTGTTTGTGTGTGTGTGTGTGTATGTTTGTAGATATGTTTGGCCCTGAGGGTCTTCAGGGTTGCTGTTTGTCTTAAAATGCTACAAGGGCTCTTATGGGGTCATAACTTATCATAGTTTAATGTCCTCTTTACAGGTAAATAATACAAGAATGTCATAGACAGACAGATATAGAGACCAGTAGACAGACGGTTGGTTAAGTCTGTGGTGATGTTGATGTCGTTTGTGGTGACGTTGATTAAGTCTGTGGTGATGTTGCGGTCGTTTGTGGTGACGTTGATTAGGTCTGTGATGATGTGGTGGACGTTTGTGGGGACGTTGATTAAGTCTGTGGTGATGTTGTGAACGTTTGTGGTGACGTTAATTAAGTCTGTGGTGATGTTGTGGACGTTTGTGGTGACGTTTATTAAGTCTGTGGAGATGTTAATGTCGTTTGGGGTGACGTTGTAGACGTCTGTGGTGATGTCGATTAAGACTGTTGTGATGTTGTGGACGTTTGTGGTGACGGTGATTAAGTCTGTGGTGATGTTGCGGACATTTGTAGTGTTGTTGATTAAGTCTGTATCCATGTTTTGGACGTTTGTGGTGATATTAATTAAGTCTGTGGTGATGTTGATGTCATTTGGGGTGACGTTGATTGAGTCTGTGGTGATGTTGTGGACGTTTGAGGTGATGTTGATTAAGTTTGTGGTGACGTTCATTAGGTCTGTGGTGATGTTGTGGACGTTTGTAATGATGCTGATTAAGTTTGTGGTGACGTTCATTAGGTCTGTGGTGATTTTGAGGACGTTTGTGGTGACGTTGGTTAAGTCTGTGGTGATATTGTGGACATTTGTGGTGACGTTGATTAAGTCTGTGGTGGTGTTGTGGACGTTTGTTGTGATGTTGATTAAGTCTGTGGTGAGGTTGATTAAGTCTGTGGTGATGTTGTAGACGTTTGTTGTTATGTTAATTCAATCTGTTGTGAAGTTTTTGACGTTTGTGGTGACGTTGATGAAGTGTATTGATTTTGTGGATGTTTGTGTTGATGTTGATTGGGTATGTGGTGATGTTAAGTAAGTCTGTGGTAATGTTTATTAGGTCTGTCGTGATGTTGATTAAGTCTGTGGTGATGTTGATTAAGTCTGTGGTGATGTTGATGGCATTTACGTTTATTCAGGTGACTTTTGTGTTGATGTTTACAACGTTTGTGGTAATACTGATGATTTTTGGTGATGTTGGGGACGTTGTGTTGTGATGATGTTGATGATGTTTGTTGTAATGCTGATGTCATGTGTGGTGATGTTGATGCAGTTTTTTATGATGTGTGGTACGTTTTTGTTTTTTTATTTATTGGACGTTTGTGGTGATGTTAGGGACGTCTGTAGTGCTGTTGACGATGTGTATAATGATGTTGATATCCTTTGTGATGATATTGATGGTGATGGTAACGGTGGTGATAGTGATGCTGTTGATGATAATGTTGGTGGTGATGATGGTGATAACGATGGTGATGGTGATGATGGTGATGGTGATGATGGTGGTGGTTGGGGTGATGAGGATGGTGGTGGTGGTGCTGATGGTGATAATAATAATGAGAAACTTTCTTCTCTTCTTTAATGGCTTAGACAAACCTGTCCGAGAGACTAGATGCTTCTATAATAGTGTTTGGTATGAGAGCGGACAACCAATACCTGATCCTTGCAACATTTGCGTCTGTTCCAATGGCCAAGCGATTTGTACTTTGAGGGCCTGCCTCAATGGTTTGTTTGTGTTTGGTTGTCGGCTGACCTGTTTGTGCCTATGTTTGATTATCTGCGTCTCTGTCTTATTCACGCTCTCTCTCTCTCTCTCTCTCTCTCTCTCTCTCTCTCTCTCTCTCTTCTTTCTCTGTGTGTTTGTGTGTGTGTGTAGATATGTTTGGCCCTGTGGGTCTTCAGGGTTGCTGTTTGTCTTGAAATGCTACAAGGGCTGTTATGGGGTCATAACTTATCATAGTTTAATGTCCTCTTGACAGGTGAATAATACAAGAATGTCACAGACAGACATAGATAGACAGATATAGACAGACAGATAAAGACAGATATAGAGACTAGCAGACAGACGGTAGGATTGTCCGATATATAGATGATTGGTTGATGAATAGTTAGATAGACAGATAGACTGACGTTTAGACCTGTGGAAAGATGAACACTCAGATAAAAAGCAAGAAGGACATTTAGCCAGGCTACTACCAACGGAGTGAGAACTCTGACATGGCTGCTGAAGATGGGAACCCGGCGCTTATGTGAATGCTTTTTATGAAATGATGTCGGTTCCGAACTTAGTTAGTTGGCAGATTATCCTCATTGCACATAAAACCATTCAGTCCATAAGAGCGCAGATCTCCTCCTCAGTAAATCCTACAGAGTATAGAGGCCGATAACATCAGTCTTCTGTTGGCTTTTAGTTCTTCTGTGGCTTTTAATTCTTATGTGGCTTTTAATTCTTCTGTGGATTTTAATTCTTCTGTGGCTTTTAATTCCTTTGTGGCTTTTAATTCTTCTGCGGCTTTTAATTCCTCTGTGGCTTCTTGTATAACGCTCTTGTCTGGCCTCACCCCGTTTAGCAAGCTGCTCTTGCAGTCTGGTCATTGGTACAGATTCACAGATATCGCTTGGTTCTCGAAAACATCTTTCTTCTCGTAGAGCGTTTAACCTGGTCCATGCTGCCTGCGATGGTAGCTTCATCTGCAAGCCTATCAGCTGGCTCATTTCCTCGCACGCCTGTGTGCCCTGGCTCCAAAATAAAACTGATATGCGTCAGCCTTGACTACATTAGAGCCTCCAACCACTGTTTTCCGACCCAGCCTAGAACTATTTTCCTTTGCACGCTCATGAAGACACAGAGAAAGCATGCGTGAGTAAAGCTTTGCATCTCTAGCCATGCTTTGATTCGGTTATTGCCATGAACTCCATAGCCAGACTACTTGTAAAAGTAAGTTTAAAAAAGGTAAAGGACCCTTTTCTACGACATAGGCGTATATATAGACCTATATTTGTATAGACCAATCGGCACAAGATGGGTGATGTTGTCAGCATTACACCGGCGCCTTTACTTCCCGGGACTGCACCTGGTACCCACTCAAAGCTGGGTCGACCTGTGAGCAAACGTCATTTTTGAAAAAAAGTCCGGCTCCTCCAGGTGCGAACCCACGACCTTCCGATCCGCAGCGAGCCTCTAGCCGCTCAGCCACAGCGACTCCCCCAGACTACTTGTGGTCAAGGCAAAATCATCCAAATCTTGCTTCACACGAGAGATAATATTGATCAAGTTATTCGTTTTGTGTCGTCCTGATCCGTTATTTGCTGATCTTGTTCTGTTCTAATCTAATGTTACAGTAGTGTCTGTCTGTGTTCTTTTCTTGATTATATCGTATCTGCATTTATTGTATTTCAGACACACTGAATGTGGACAATTCAGGTTCTACACCCTGAAGCGTATACAGTTTGGGAAAATACATCAACGATGAAATACCCATAGTGTCAATTAATATTACTCTCGAAAACTCAACTCAGATTTTCTTGTTTTTCCAACGACTGTTTCAGTATGTTTTTATTGTCGGTATTTTTATGTCTACTCGTAAACACATTCGATTTCTTGTCAAGTTTAAACGTCTACATTTTCATGTCCACATGTTCCTGTCAATGTTTTAATTTTTTTTTTTAAATTCTCATTGTTTACTGTGTGGGTAATTTATAAACAATAAACCACATATTGTTTAAATGTCTTTTTTAAGTGGTCGAGGGTCCAAACCAAAAGACCATGTCAAGAATTGTCCAAACAACATAATTTCTCAGTAAACCTCTCATGTAAAACATACTTACCACTGCTTAGATCATTTTTTTTTTCAGTATACAGAAGCCATGAGTTGTTAACCCTTAGGCTCGGTATTATGGATATCGCAACCCTTCGGCCTTGATTTCATGATAAATACAGTAAATCTGGGAGAAATGTGGCTTTTCTGCCTACTCCCGGGCGTGAACCCTGACCCGGTCACCGCGCAGTCCGGTTTAGCCAACTACGCTAGAGAGCCGGGCTGCTTAGATAATTAGCTGTCAGTACTTGTACATACATGTGTGAAACAAGGACCTTTGTGTCTAAACTGACTACGAAAGCACAATGAGAAGGGTGAGGTCGGGCGTGCTTCGTGTAGAGTGGCATTCTTCACCAAACAGGTCACGGGAGTGGAGCAGTGTCTGGATCTTTCCTCCGGATCATGCTGGTGCGTCGAGAAATGAACTGGTGAAATGATTGGATGGCTCTGCACAACTTAGTGGAATACTAATGCATAATAAGGCAGACGTGGTTAGGGCCTTGTGGCAGAAAGTTTACAGTGCGAAGGAGCAAATAAATCACCAGAGTGATGCAGCAAAGAGTGACGAGACGATCTGGCCGATGCTCCACGCTCAGAGGAAAGTCAAGACGGACGTATAATCAGAAAGTTACTGGCCTTATTTGTTCTAGAACTCTGCGCTGGCTGCTAAAGACGGGGACAAGACGCTAATGGGAATGCCCTGGGTGGTATGATGTCGGTTCTTGAATCAATTCAGCAGAACATCTCAACGAGAAAACAAAAAGAAAAGCATTGGAAATGATATCTGCCAGAAAGGTCAATGAGCCTTCTGTTTCCGAAGAAAGGGATGGAGCACGTGTAGGAATGCCCTGAGTGCACCGATATCAGTTCTTGATTGATTTATTGATTAATTCATTCATATATTCATTCGTTCATTCATTCAGTGTCCTATCTGCTGGAGACAAAAGGGTTTAACACATTTAACGCTGCTGACATCAGCTTCAATTATAGCTGTGCCAAGTTGTAGCTTGGTGCCCCTAGCTGTGTGGGATGTTGTCACTCTGAACATCTAGTTAGTTAGTTAGTTAGTTAGTTAGTTGGGTTATCATCATTGCACTCCGGACATGTCCATAGGTGCTCAGATCCTCCCCTCAGTATGAATCCCAACGTCCGATGGCTAATAGTACCAGTTCTATGTTGATTAACAAGTCTTCTGACGTGTCCGGTGTGCGTCTCGTTTTTTGCTGTGCCGATCTTAATTCCCAAGTCTGCCATTCTGGCGAGTGATGTGGATTCACTGCCACCAAAGTCCTCTATCCTTCCCATTTCTCTGAGGGCATTGATAATATCAGCATGATCCATAGGCCGACCGTCGGTAGTGATAGCGGATCCAGCCAACCTGTCAGCTCTTTCATTTCCATCGACGCCTGCGTGTCCCGGAACAAAAATAAAGGTGACTCCTCGCACAGTGGACTTCTGAATTGATTCAAGCCATTGTCTTCGCACTGAACCTGCCTGAACCCTCCGGATCATACTCATTGAATCACTGAGTATACATATGCGGGTGTATTTTTTTGTGTTTCAAGCCAGGCAAACGCTTGCGTCACTGCCATCACCTCCATCGTCATGCTGCTGGTTGTCATGGAGAAGGCGCCGTTGGCTTCTTTTGACTGTTCTGCCCGCTGAGCGTGCTGTAAATGCCCATGCGCTTCTTCTTTGGCGTATAACTGATCCGTCTGTATAGATTAGTGCATCTGCTTCGTCTGAATTTTCACCGATGAGAGCGTTGACCTCTGCATTAACAGCAACAGGATTCTCTTCTCTACATCGCCTGTTGAGTGTGACAATACAGGAAAATGTACAAATAAACGCCTGAGGCACAGGTATGATTCTGCACCAGGTATGATGTCGGTTAGGCTGCATATTTGCCTAATAACATCTTCTGCCCGACCTAGCCACGATTTTCCCCCTCTTCAGTCTGTCGCCCTTTTCACTAAAATGCGCTTGATGCAGTGGGTGTTTCTTATCAGCACATATTTTGAGGTATGCCCGAGCCCTCCACATCCTGATCCTTTGGTTCATTGTGTGAAAGTCAAGTAGATACCTCATTGCTCCCAGGATGTGTCTCTTGTACATCCCAAAATAATACGCATGGCTTCATTTTGCACCTTCTCGAGTCGTTCAATCTGGGTAGCACTGACAGTGAGGATGGCCAGAGCGTATTCAATGGGGGAAAGGACCAGACCATAGAATAGAAGCACCAGCAGTCTTTGCTCGATATTGGAAGCAGCCATAATCCTCATTGCAGATAGACCTTTGCGTGCTTTTGTTATCGCATGGTGATGTGTTCCCTGATGACAAGCTGCGATCGAACCTCACCCCGAGAAACGTCATAACGTTGGATCAATACATTATCACGCATTTTTCACTTGCCCCGACTTGACAATGTGATTGTTCAAAGAGAACCATGACACTGATGCCTTCGAGGGACATAGGCATTGAACATCACACCAGGCGGCAATTCGATCGAGTTCTTTGTGCATTGTGCTGGCGATCTCCTGTCTATCACGTCCTCTCGATAAATCAAAATGTCATCAGCAAATGACAAAGTCCTTCCCTTTCCATTCAACTGCTGCTCAGTAATCATCACCGTATAAACATTGAATAAGACTGGTGATAGCGGTGATCCCTGTGGCAAGCCTGGACATATCGTTTGCGGTTCTGAGGACCAGCTACCACATCTTAGTACAATCTTTCTCTGGAACAGGACCGCAGCAATCCAGCGGATCAGAATAGGATTGACTTCTAGTTTAAGCAGTAATTGCATTAAATAATCATATGGTACTTTATTGTAGGCATCTTCTAAGTCCAACACTGCCGCACATGTCTCTTCTTTAATCTGAAATCCCTCGTACACATCGTAGGCGAAAACTGCAGCATTGAACCATGTCAACCTGTACCCTCCAAGTGTTGATGGGAACTTATCATGTAGTTCCAAGTAGGTGGTCAATCTTTGTGCGACAATTTTTTCCAAAAGTTTGCCAACAGTATTCTGCATCGAGATGATTCTGTAACTCTGAACATCTGTTGTGGCTTATTGCCCGTGGTTGTGTGGGATGTTGTCACTCTGAACATCTGTTGTGGCTTATTGCCCCTGACTGTGTGTGATGTTGTCACCCTGAACATCTGTTGTGGCTTACTGCCCGTGGCTGTGTGTGATGTTGTCACTCTGAACATCTGTTGTGGTTTACTGCCCCTGGTTGTGTAATATTGTCTCTCTGAACATATGTCATGGCTCACTGTCCCTGGCTGTGTGTGATGTTGTCACTCTGAACATATGTCATGGCTTACTGCCCCTGGCTGTGTGTGATGTCACTCTGAACATATATCATGGCTCACTGCCCCTGGCTGTGTGTGATATTGTCACTCAGATCATATGTCATGGCTCACTGCCCCTGGCTGTGTGTGATGTTGTCAATCTGATCATATGTCGTGGCTCACTGGCCCTGGCTGTGTGTGATGTTATCACTCTAAACAACTGTTGTGGCATACTGCCCCTGGCTGTGGGTGATGTTGTCACTCTGAACATCTGTTTTGGCTTACTGCCCCTGGCTGTTTGTGATGTTGTCACTCTGAACATATGTCATGGCTCACTGCCCCTGGCTGTGTGTGATGTTGTCACTCTGATCATATGTCATGGCTCACTGCCCCTGGCTGTGTGTGATGTTGTCACTCTGATCATATGTCATGGCTCACTGCCCCTGGCTGTGTGTGATGTTGTCAATCTGATCATATGTCATGGCTCACTGATCTGGCTGTGTGTGATGTTGTCACTCTGATCATATGTCGTGGCTCACTGCCCCTGGTTGTGTGTGTGATGTTGTCACTCTGAACATCTGTTGTGCCCCTGGTTGTGTTTGATGTTATCACTCTGAATATCTGTTATGGCTTACTGCGCCTGGCTGTGTGTGATTTTGTCACTCTGAACATCTGTTGTGGCTTACTGCCCCTGGCCTTGTGTGATGTTGTCACCCTGAACATCTGTTGTGGCTTACTGTCCCTGGCTTTGTGTGATGTTGTCACTCTGATCATTTGTTGTGGCTTACTGTCCCTGGCTTTGTGTGATGTTGTCACTCTGATCATTTGTTGTGGCTTACTGTCCCTGGCTGTGTGTGATGTTGTCTTTCTAAACATCTAAGCGTCCTTTATTTTAGCTGATCCACAACCAAGCACCTCTTTCAACAACAGTCACACAACTGGAACAGCAATTCAAATCGTGTCATCCCTTTGAGGGAAGCAATTTTTCGTTGTTTGAAGCATTACTTTGGCTCTTGCCAAGGGCCGCAATATGGCTAGGCCATAAATATGGTCTAATAGCTGAACGCGGTTTCCATGACCTCTCTACGGGTGATCCTCATCCACATGGTGGCACTTTGAGTCATCGGGTGTTTATCGCTTGTGTGATGTCCTGGTGAAGTAAAAGAAGATAGACAGAAGAACTGGAACAGCCATGCTAGGGATATGTAACAAGATCTACCAGCGATATTGCAGCGCCCTCTAGTGGGGGGGGGGGGAGGAGCGCAGGTCAGGAATGACCTAGATACAAACTTGACCGAATGACCAGGCCTCACGTATGTACATGTCAAGTCCTGTGATCCGACCAGCAAAGATGAAGGTATCATTCAGCAGATGATCAACCAACCACAGGCTGTGCTATGTTAAAGATAATTATGGTAGCAGCGGTGGTGGTGACGATGGTGACTAATCATATGTTTGATTATTGAAAGAAAAAAAAACATATGATGTTTTAGACATATTTATCACATGAACCATTCGATAATTGAACCCAGTTTTTACTTACTCATCACAGAAACCGTTTCCGGCCGCATGTAGCATACAGTCTCCCTCACGTTCAGCTGTTAAAAAAAAAGACCCTTTTCTATGCCTTTAGGGGTATAGGGGCATATAGGGCCTATCTTTTATAGACCAATCGGCACAAGATGGGTGATGTGGTCAGCATCACACCGGCCGAATTTACTTCCCGGGACTGTACGCGGTACCCACTCAGGGCTGGGTCGACATGGGAGCCGAGGTCATTTTTGAAAAAAAAAAAGTCCGGCTCCGCCAGGAAGCGAAACAACGACCTTCCGATCCGCGGAGAGCGTCTAGCCGCTCCGTCACGGCGACTTTCTTCAGCTGCTGATGGTAATAATAATGTTTGTGAGCTACTCTAAAGACACAGCTCTCCACTGACTTTATCTACCTGCTCTTTCTAAAGACACAGCTCTCCTCTGACTCTATCCACCTGTTCTTTCTAAAGACCCAGCTCCCCTCTGACTCTATCTACCAGCTCCTTCTAAAGACACAGCTCTCCTCTGACTCTATCTACCTGCTCTTTCTAAAGACAGCTCTCCTCTGACTCTATCTACCTGCTCTTTCTAAAGACACAGCTCTCCTCTGACTCTATCTACCTGCTCTTTCAGCTTGCCCGGGACCGTCGGTAGTTACGGCTTGTCCACACTGTCGTCCATGGTTTGCATCTATCAGAGGTGAATTCATAGAGGTGGTAGCTTGGAGTTCCAACAACAACATTTCAAGAGGGTCTGACCTATGTAAATAATTTCACGAGTGCTGAAATCTTCCCCTTGCCAGCAGATTTGTGAGTGAGCTAAAAGTCTACAGACTGGCAGGAAGTAAGTGTACATAGCTGGTGTTCCCTTCACAGGCTAAATGTACTTTTACATACAGCTGTCCCAAACACACTATAAAAGACAGCTGTCACATACATTGTCCACATCAGACAACCTAAAGCACAGATCATTGACACAGATTTTGAAGGGGAAAAAAAGAGAAAGTTAGTCACACACAGGTCTGGTATTAGTCTAAACCAGAGACTCTCACCCTTCCTAATGAGGCGACCTATAATAGAGTTCCTTATGTTGTGGCGACCCCAAACACACAATTATTTTTGTTGCTACTTGACAACTTCAGTGAATATGTATTTTCCTATTGTCTTTGGCGACCCTTATGAAAGGGTCATTCGACCCACAAAAGGGTTGCCACCCCCAGGTTAAGAACAGCTGGTCTATACAGTCAACACAATCTTCAATAAAACGAGTATAGCTAAGGATAGAGAAACTCGGGTCTGGCGGGGCTGCCGATCCAGTCACAGTCCACGTGCACGTAGACAGGCTTTGACCTTGAAACTGACCTGAGCTGACCGTCTAGAAGATTCCCACCTGAAATGTAAAGAAAACAAACTTAAGAGTCAGTATCAACATATGACAACATTTGAAATCTCATGAAACAAACATAACAGTAGTCAACAAACATATGACAACTTGTCAAATTGCATGATACAAACTGGAGTCAATATAAACAGATGCCAACTTGTGAAACTTCTTAATACGAACTTGACAGTCAGTATAAACACATGCCACTTGTTAAATTTTACAACACAAACTTAAGAGGCAGTATTAGCTCGTGAAATTTCATGAAATAATGACAAAAGAAATACAAAGAAATATAAGTATCTGAAAATGCGTGAAAAAAAGTCAGAGGAACTGTTGAAACAAATAAAATTTGTAAATCGTAATAAATACTTTGGAAATAATAGAAAACACACAACAACATTTGAATATAAACGTTAAATATCTTGAGAGGAATTCCCAACAAATGAATTTAGAAAACATAACTTTGGATTATTAATTCGTCAAAACTCAATAATTGTTCAGTTTCTGTAGCAGCGAAATAAAAAAATGTCCATCCATATCCGCTGTCTCTACAAAGTTTGGGACATCCATCCATCCATTTATCTATCTATCCATCCATCCATCCATCCATCCATCCATCCATGTGGCAAGCATTTCCTTGATTACTGAGTGGTCCTGACTCATTTTTACTTATACCAGTGATTCCCATACTGTGCGCCACGGCGCCCTGGGGAGCCGCGACCTCTTCACAGGGGCACCCCAAAATATTCGAAGATGCACGAGTTTTATTTTTTTTATTTTTTTTTAAATCTCTTACATAGGAATAGTCTTACTTTTACTTCGGTTAGGGCGACGTGGACAAATTTTAAGTGACAGAAGGCGCCTACTAAGATAATTGGGAAACAGTGACTAATAGTTTCTAGCACGTGAGTCGAATTCCAAAGATCGTATAAGAAACAAAACATTTCGCGTCTAAACAGATCTTTTACCGAGCTGGGCGTATAGCAAAACGGACGTATGCTGAATTTTGACTATGTATGTATGTGTGTGTTTCTGTGTATATATGTGAGTATGTGTGTGTGTTGTGTGTCTGCGCGCGCGCGTCTGTGTCGCGTGTGTCTTATATGTATGTCCAGACTGTATGTGTGTATGTATGTCTCTCAACCCCACTAGGACCACACAACAAGCTACCAACATCCGGTGACACAAAGTGACACTATTCGGATAAGGATCACCCGTGCAAAAGTCCAAGAAACCCCGTTAAACCGTTATTGTATGTTACGGCCCCGACTAAAGCCAGTATGGGGCCTTAAAATAGCGAAACGTGACCCACACGGGGACGGAAGTTGATAGTCCGTCTAATATCCAATAATGATGTGGCTACATCCTAATATATCCAGACAGACAGGATAATATCGTAAATATGGACGGAGAGAGACAAAAAAAAGAAGTGCATAAATACAACCAAACCTTTCGGCTAAAGTCTTTATCAAAGAACAAAACTGCTTTCCATCTACTGAGTTATATATTGTTTATTCCCTCTTTGGGCTTTTTAGTGAAGTTCGTGTCGTTTTACTTCTTGACATCTGCCGTTATCTGACTTCTTGCGCTATTTTGTATAAAGCTAAGTCCCAGAATTGTCGTGTGTGAACTGCCAGTTGCGTCATCACCGGATGTGACAGCAGTAAACATGGCGACTAGTATCTAGTGACCTACTGTTGTGTCTTGACACCTGGAAACTGTAGAATGGGTCTTCCGGCATGGGAGAGAACTCTGCGCACATAATGGCGTCCTCGTCCTTGCTGACAAAAGCCTTGGCTCTGAAAGTGGACACACATCATTCTTCTGTAACAGTTCTTTCAAAGCAGAGATACGTTATGCAAGTGAATAATACAGGTATTAGAAACCTGATGGTGTAAGAAGAAAAAAGACAATACGACCTGTACTTTAAATCTTCTTCCTTTCTCAAATTCTGGAATGCCTCGCAGCGTCAGGGCAGGAAAAAATCTCTTGAACGAGCTCCCAAGTTCGCTTCGTATTTAGTACGTTTCAGTGTCTCTGATATTTCTGCCGCCCATTTTTCTGCGAGGTCTCCCAATGGCTTTCTTACGATTGCGTCTGTATAACATTGCTCTCTGTGGTGCTCTGTCTGCTGCCAATCTTGTTTCATGGCCAAACCATTTCATTTGTTGCATACCTATAAAGTTCAGTATTAGTCCTGTGTCGGTTTTCCGTGTGGGTTCCGGGGCCCTATTAAAGGGAAAACAAGAATAGACCAACTGCCTTCCTGAAAGCATGTCGTAAGAGCCGACTAATTGGGAGCTTCCTTCGAAGTAGGAATGCATCTGCCTGAGAGGCAAGGAACCAGCAGTCTGCATACAAATGAGTCAGATCTGTAAAACTGATACACACGCAACACTCAGTTTCTGGAAGAGGACTGCAGTCCAGAAGTGGACAAACAACCAGAACTTTCCATCAGCGTTTACAGCTGGTTAACGCGAAGATGAAGAAGATCTGTGCCGATTCTCCTCCTGATATCATTGTTCATAAGTCGATCTTTCCTCGTTACACCTAGCATAGTACGTTACACCTAGCATAGTACGTAAACATTTCATTTCTGTCGTGACTATTTTTCTTGTGTCTTCTGAAGACAAGTGTCCATGTATGACACTGATAGCATAGTGTTGTAAAGAATATTGCGTTTATATACCTTATAATGAGATTTAGCAGTACGCCGTTTCCGGAACTTCCAAGAAAACCACAGATGGTCAGTTGTCTACCTAACTAATCTGTAAGAGGTTGCAGCTAGGTGATGTCATCAAGACCCAATTAGAGAATTCCAGAATAATGAGCATACTAGAATTTACTGGAAGCGTCAGTGAGACAGTGTGTAGACAGGAAACCACCTGATGTAATGTGGAGACAACGTGTAGACAGGAAACTACCTCACGTAATGTGGAGACAAGGTGTAGACAGGAAACTACCTCACGTAATGTGGAGACAACGTGTAGACAGGAAACTACCTGATGTAATGTGGAGACAACGTGTAGACAGGAAACTATCTCACGTAATGTGGACACAACGTGTAGACAGGAAACTACCTCACATAATGTGGACACAACGTGTAGACAGGAAACCAACTTACATAAGGTAGAGACAACGTGTAGACAAGAAACTACCTCACGTAATGTGGAGAGAAAACGTGTAGACAAGAAACTACCTCACATAATGTGGAGAGAAAACGTGTAGACAAGAAACTACCTCACGTAATGTGGAGAGACAACGTGTAGACAAGAAACTACCTCACTTAATGTAGAGACAACGTGTAAACAAGAAACCACCTCACATAATGTAGAGACAACGTGTAGACAAGAAACTACCCCACATAATGTAGAGACAACGTGCAAACAAGAAACCACCTCACATAATGTAGAGACAACGTGTAAACAAGAAACCACCTCACATAATGTAGAGACAACGTGTAGACAAGAAACCACCTCACATTTTGCTGTGACTACATGTAGAAAAGCTCACCGGAACACAAAAACATGGCCGTCCCTCTTGTCACAAAAGAAGCGGACATCCTGGCCACTCATCAGGTGTAAGGTGGCGTTGCTTTGCCAGATCTCCAACATCCTTGCATGTTGGTAGGTGAAGTTCCAGCGGCCTTGGATCTCTGGCGGGAACTTGCAGCCGGGCACTGTGGTAGGGAGTACATGTCATATGTCACTTTTGGCAGCACCATATACACCAGTTGATTTAGGCGGATATAACAACTAGGGTATGTAACAATATAACTAGGCAGTTTTGTAACCCAAAAAAACGCAGACAGATAATAAGGTATAAACGTACATAAAACTAGACAACAACAAAAAAAAATTACCAGAAATAAAAATAGCTGATCTTAACTAATTGAGGTGTGCTGAAAGCAAATATTATATTTTGAAATGTCAATTAGCTCAAGTTTTGAAGACATACGCTATTAGTTAACCTAATTAGGGCCAATTAATATATATGACGCAACTGTTGTGGCCAGTTGCATAATTATTTTTCTAATGACTAATAAAACTGTAAACCGGAAGTTGATGATGCCGTCCTACCTCATATTACATCATCTTTGTGTATAAATGTCTCATCTCTGGCAAAATGTTGCTTTTATCAGCTAGTGTTTTGTCTTTATTAATCCTGTCATAATTCGAAATGCCTAGGGTGTGTGTGAACAGCGCTGATAACTTCTGTTATGTATGTGGTGAGGTGACATTTCTCTCACAAAAACACACTTCCACTAAAGTAATTAAAAAAGCATACAGTTTGTATTTTGGCTCATTATCCCTCCATCTGCCTGCCTTATTTTCACGTGCAGCAGTTTGAGACAGGGATGTTAAGATGGTCCTACATTTGATCTGCAGTTTAACAAAGAGACTCAGGAAATAGATAGCCCTCGACAACAGTCCTGCCTTCTACAGCCAACAGCTCACCGAGGGCAGCATTAACTATATGTGCCGCCAACAGCTCACACAGGGTAGCATTCACTATCTGTGCCGCCAACAGCTCACACAGGACAGCATTCACTATCCATGCCGCCAACAGTTCACACAGGACAGCATTCACTATCTGTGCCGCCAACAGCTCACACAGGCAGCATTCACTATCTGTGCCGCCAACAGCTCACACAGGCAGCATTCACTATCCGTGCCGCCAACAGCTCACACAGGGCAGCATTCACTATCTGTGCAGCCAACAGCTCACACAGGGCAGCATTCACTATCTGTGCCGCCAACAGCTCACACAGGGCAGCATTCACTATTTGTGCAGCCAACAGCTCACACAGGGCAGCATTCACTATCTGTGCCGCCAACAGCTCACACAGGGCAGCATTGACTATCCGTGCCTCCAACAGCTCACACAGGGCAGCATTGACTATCCGTGCCGCCAACAGCTCACACAGGGCAGCATTCACAATCTGTGCCTCCAACAGCTCACACAGGGCAGCATTCACTATCTGTGCCACCAACAGCTCACACAGGGCAGCATTGACTATCCATGCCGCCAACAGCTCATCGAGGGCAGCATTTACTGTCTGTGCAGCCAACAGCTCACATAGGGCAGCATTCACTCTCTGTGCCGCCAACAGCTCACACAGGGCAGCATTCACTATCTGTGCCGCCAACAGCTCACACAGGGCAGCATTCACTATCTGTGCCGCCAACAGCTCACACAGGGCAGCATTGACTATCCATGCCGCCAACAGCTCATCGAGGGCAGCATTCACTATCTGTGCTGCCAACAGCTCACACAGGGCAGCATTCACTATCCGTGCAGCCAACAGCTCACACAGGGCAGCATTGACTATCTGTGCCGCCAACAGCTCACACAGGGCAGCATTCACTATCTGTGCCGCCAACAGCTCACACAAGGCAGCATTCACTATCTGTGCCGCCAACAGTTTACACAGGGCAGCATTCACTATCTGTGCCGCCAACAGCTCACACAGGGCAGCATTCACTATCTGTGCCGCCAACAGCTCACACAGGGCAGCATTCACTATCCATGCTGTGGGGAAACCTATTACATATGTTTCGTCACCACCTTGTGGGATGCAATTTTTCGTGTTTTTTTTTAAAGCCCAACCCTGGCTCGTGCCAAGGGCGGCAATACAGCCCGACCATAAATATGGTCTAAAGGCTGAACGCGGTTTCCCGGACCTCTTCACGGGTGATCCACGTGTTGTCACTTTGTGTCATCAGGTGTTTATGGCCTGTGTGATGTTCTAGTTGGGTAAAATGTACTACTACTAACTATTACACCGGGACATTAGATCCGGAACCAGTGAGTCTGGGGACATTCGACACAGCCGGGGTGGGAGATGTTAGATGTCTGCTTCCATCTGCAATCACGTGACGATGTGCTCCGTCTCTGTCAGCACTATGATACGCGAATGGGGGTGAGAGCTTAAACTGGTGTGCGTGAGTGAGTGAATGTGTGAGAGAGAGAGAGAGAGAGAGAGAGAGAGAGAGAGAGAGAGAGAGAGAGACAGAGACATACAGAGAGAGACAGAGAGAGAGACTGTCATCGTCACTCCAAGCCACACAACTGAAGTATCTATTCCACAAAACTAGTTAGTTTCGTCAGCTGCCACACGCTGCAGGATTGTTGAGAAGTTTCCAGATCTCATGGACCGAATGGTTCCACGTGCAATGAGGCTAATTCTATCGTCTAAGTGTCTGTAAGCTCTCTGGGAAATTGTTTCTATGTTAGTTTGACTGAAAGGTAAACTAACTGGCTGGCAGTCATACAGATTGACAGACAGACTGCTATTTGGGTAGGCAGGAGTATATACGGACAGACTAACAAGACAGACCGATATTAGAGTAGGCAGCAGTATAAATGGACAGACTGGCAAGACAGACTGTTATATGAGTAGGCAGGAGTATATACGGACAGACTAACAAGACAGACAGTCATTTGAGTAGGCAGGTTTATGCAGGGACAGACTAACAAATAAGCACCGAAATAATCAATCGAGTTGACAGACATTAAAAGCATATTTAAGATGCAACATAATTCAAAGTCAGAAAGCCAACTGGTGCACAAACAAAAGTGTGCAAAGGGAACTCCAAGCTATCAACTACATATAATATCATGTTGTGTGTGTTTGTGTGTGTGTGTGTGGGGGGGGGGGGGAGAGATTACTAGACAGCTCGATAAATAGATAAACATGCATAAAGACGAATGGACAAAATATTAACAACAGACAGACAGACAGGAAAGCAGACAGATAGACAGACGGACGGACGGACGGACGGACGGACAGGGACGGATAGATAGATAGATAGATAGATAGATAGATAGATAGATAGATAGATAGATAGATAGATAGATAGATTAGATAGATAGATAGATAGATAGATAGATAGATAGATAGATAGATAGATAGATAGATAGATAGATAGATAGATAGATAGATAGATAGATAGATAGATAGATAGATAGATAGATAGATAGATAGATAGATAGATAGATAGATAGATAGATAGATAGATAGATTAGATAGATTAGATAGCTAGATAGATAGATAGATAGATAGATAGATAGATAGATAGATAGATAGATAGATAGATAGATAGATAGATAGATAGATAGATAGATAGATAGATAGATAGATAGATAGATAGATAGATAGATAGATAGATAGATAGATAGATAGATAGATAGATAGATAGATAGATAGATAGATAGATAGATAGATAGATAGATAGATAGATAGATAGATAGATAGATAGATAGATAGATAGATAGATAGATAGATAGATAGATAGATAGATAGATAGATAGATAGATAGATAGATAGATAGATAGATAGATAGATAGATAGATAGATAGATAGATAGATAGATAGATATAGATAGATAGATAGATAGATAGATAGATAGATAGATAGATAGATAGATAGATAGATAGATAGATAGATAGATAGATAGATAGATAGATAGATAGATAGATAGATAGATAGATAGATAGATAGATAGATAAATAGATACATAGATAGATAGATAAATAGATAGATAGATTAGATAGATAGATAGATTAGATTAGATAGATAGATAGATAGATAGATAGAAGATAGATAGATAGATAGATAGATAGATAGATAGATAGATAGATAGATAGATAGATAGATAGATAGATAGATAGATAGATAGATAGATAGATAGATAGATAGATAGATAGATAGATTCATAGATAGATAGATAGATAGATAGATAGATAGATAGATAGATAGATAGATAGATAGATAGATAGATAGATAGATAGATAGATAGATAGATAGATAGATAGATAGATAGATAGATAGATAGATAGATAGATAGATAGATAGATAGATAGATAGATAGATAGATAGATAGATAGATAGATAGATAGATAGATAGATAGATAGATAGATAGATAGATAGATAGATAGATAGATAGATAGATAGATAGACAAAATTGTCCCTGTGAAAGAAAACCAAGGAAACGAACATTGTTAAAACTATCGCAGCCCTGGAGTTCGCATCAGCCATTAAGGAAAACAAAGCAGGCACACATTTACATGCCTCACCGCACCACCAGAGATAACGCGCGCGGGATTGCCTTTGTGCGGCCGCATCCAGGATTAAACAAACCAGAACAGATTACTAAATTAACCCGGTGTTTGATGAAATGCTGGCCGGTTATTTTCCTGGCTGCTTGAAAAGATATTTCCATAAAATATAACATAAAAACGAACAGAATAGAGAGAAAGAGAGAGAGAGAGAGAGAGAGAGAGAGAGAGAGAGAGAGAGAGAGAGAGTGGTGCCGGAATTGGACCTGGGATAAAAGTGAAATGAACTAGAAAATGAATGACAGACAGGCTGTGAAAAACAAGAACGAATGCAAAGAAGATATATTTGTCCTGATCGATTACACAAAGATCTGTCCACGTCGATTACATGCCGTGTTTTTGTTCTCATCCCTTTCAATATTCCAATTGTGTTTCCTACAGATAAAGACGGAGTTTGGCAGAGGTAGAACAGGGAGGGGTGTTAATAAACTAGTTGACAGATGCGGCTACGTCACATTAAAGCCGTTTTCGTTCAAATTAAAATATCGCAACGCAAGGTGAGACTAAGAACTTAGTTAGCAAAAGCAGTTAGTGTACTGAAACTGCCAATTATTTTACTGGAACTGGCAGTTTGTGTACCTTTTTTTTTTTACAATTTATACAATTTTTTTTTCGTTTCCCAAGGGAGCATAGATCATCGACCTACCGGCACCACGTGGCCCAGTCTTTCGCGATCACACAACCGAAAATATCTGACGTGTCTGTCTGTCTGTCCGTCTGTCCGTCTGTCTGTCCGTCCGTCCGTCCATCTGTCTGTCTGTCTATCTGTCTGTCCGTCTGTCCGTCTGTCTATCTGTCTGTCTATCTGTCTGTCGGTCTGTCTGTCTGTCCGTCCGTCTGTCTATCTGTCTCTCAATCTGTCTGTCCGTCTGTCTGTTTGTCTGTCCGTCCGTCCGTCCGTCCGTCTGTCTATCTGTCTGTCTGTCCGTCCGTCCGTCTATTTATCTGTCTGTCTGTCTGTCTGACTGTCCGTCCGTCCGTCTGTCTGTCTGTCTGTCTGTCTGTCTGTCGGTCGGTCTGTCTGTCTGTCTGTCCGTCCGTCCGTCTGTCTGTCTGTCTGTCTATATGTCTGTCTTTGTGTCTATCTGTCTGTCCGTGGCAGGGACAGATAATCATTCTAGCAGGCTCTACCTGTATCGTCTGCCGTGTTAGGTTTTCACAACTACCAGGTACTGACATATCAGGTGGTGTGACCAGTTCTCTTCCTCGCCGCCTTGACTTCTTGGACGAACACCAGGCAATTATTAATGATCTAGTACCAAGAGCGCCGAAACCTGTAGGCTGCATACAGCTTGCTGCGGGCCCTATGTTTCAGTAACAGACAGTAGATCCACTGCCCCCGTGTTGACTGAAGGGCCCTTTGTTTCAGTAACAGACAGTAGCTCCACTGCCCCCGTGTGGACTGAAGGGCCCTATGTTTCAGTAACAGACAGTAGATCCACTGCCCCCGTGTGGTCTGAAGGCCTCCATGTTTCAGTAACAGACAGTAGGTTCACTGCCCCCGTGTGGACTGAAGGCCCCCATGTTTCAGTAACAGACAGTAGATCCACTGCCCCCGTGTGGACTGAAGGCCTCTATGTTTGAGTAACAGACAGTAGATCCACTGCCCCCGTGTGGACTGAAGGCCCCCATGTTTCAGTAACAGACAGTAGATCCACTGCCCCCGTGTGGACTAAAGGGCCCTATGTTTCAGTAACAGACAGTAGATCCACTGCTCCCGTGTTGACTGAAGGCCCCTATGTTTCAGTAACAGACAGTAGATCCACTGCTCCCGTGTGGACTGAAGGCCTCCATGTTTCGGTAACAGACAGTTGATCCACTGCCCCAGTGTGGACTGAAGGCCCCCATGTTTCAGTAACAGACAGTAGATCCACTGCCCCCGTGTTGACTGAAGGCTCCCATGTTTCAGTAACAGACAGTAGATCCACTGCCCCCGTGTGGACTGAAAGGCCCCATGTTTCAGTAACAGACAGTAGATCCACTGCCCCCGTGTGGACTGAAGGCTCCCATGTTTCAGTAACAGACAGTAGATCCACTGCCCCCGTGTGGTCTGAAGGCCTCCATGTTTCAGTAACAGACAGTAGGTTCACTGCCCCCGTGTGGACTGAAGGCCCCCATGTTTCAGTAACAGACAGTAGATCCACTGCCCCCGTGTGGACTGAAGGCCTCTATGTTTCAGTAACAGACAGTAGATCCACTGCCCCCGTGTGGACTGAAGGCCCCCATGTTTCAGTAACAGACAGTAGATCCACTGCCCCCGTGTGGACTAAAGGGCCCTATGTTTCAGTAACAGACAGTAGATCCACTGCTCCCGTGTTGACTGAAGGCCCCTATGTTTCAGTAACAGACAGTAGATCCACTGCTCCCGTGTGGACTGAAGGCCTCCATGTTTCGGTAACAGACAGTTGATCCACTGCCCCAGTGTGGACTGAAGGCCCCCATGTTTCAGTAACAGACAGTAGATCCACTGCCCCCGTGTTGACTGAAGGCTCCCATGTTTCAGTAACAGACAGTAGATCCACTGCCCCCGTGTGGACTGAAAGGCCCCATGTTTCAGTAACAGACAGTAGATCCACTGCCCCCGTGTGGACTGAAGGCTCCCATGTTTCAGTAACAGACAGTAGATCCACTGCCCCCGTGTGGACTGAAGGGCCCCATGTTTCAGTAACAGACAGGAGATCCACTGCCCCCGTGTGGACTAAAGGGCCCCATGTTTCAGTAACAGAAAGTAGATCCACTGCCCCCGTGTGGACTGAAGGCCCCCATGTTTCAGTAACAGAGAGTAGATCCACTGCCCCCGTGTGGACTGAAGGGCCCCATGTTTCAGTAACAGACAGGAGATCCACTGCCCCCGTGTGGACTGAAGGCCCCCATGTTTCAGTAACAGACAGTAGCTCCACTGCCCCCGTGTTGACTGAAGGCCCCCATGTTTCAGTAACAGACAGTAGATTCACTTCCCCAGTGTGGACTGAAGGCCCCCATGTTTCAGTAACAGACAGTAGATCCACTGCCCCCGTGTAGACTGAAGGGCCCCATGTTTCAGTAACAGACAGTAGATCCACTGACCCCGTGTGGACTCAAAGGCCTCCATGTTTCAGTAACAGACAGTAGATCCACTGCCCCCGTGTGGACTGAAGGCCCCCATGTTTCAGTAACAGACAGTAGATCCACTGCTCCCTAAAATAAGCAAGTCGTTCTCGAGTCTCAGGCACATGCATTGCGACACTGAAGGAAACATCCCTAATTAGTGGCCTATTACGACATGCTTGTTAGGATGATAGGAGACAGTCGGTCTATGTTTTTCGTGCAACGGGCTTTAGAACTCACACTGCGACCTTTATCTGTTGGATAGACGGAAAGACAGACTTTCAGGTAGAAATCTGAGTGTCATAGGCTAGCATCAGCTAAAGATTGAATTTTTATTAAACGGATTACATACAATCAAACAGACATTTCAGACAGTCAGACTAACAAACATTCAGACAGAAAATAAATATGTTTCAGTACGATAGACATTCATTTAGACAGACAAGTATCTCACAAATTTCTAGTATTCAACAGATTTTAACAAACAATGAAGAGAGAGAAACAGAGTTGGACTAAACAGGGTTGGCATGGAAAAAGATATGAGGCAGAGAGTGTTCTTCGGTCATGTGATGAAAAGGGAAGTATTGGAAGACACCGTGATGACTGAAAAGATCGATGGTAGAAGAGGCAGGGGCAGACCAAGAGAGACGATGCTGGGCGGTCTGAAGCGATAGCATGGAGAAATATTATCAGTGGAATTGAAAAAGGTGGAAATCTGTAGAGAGACATGAGCTCCTGCGTCGCTGGGCTGGACAAATGATGATGATGATGGGGATAATGATGATGATGGTGATATGATGATGATGATGATGTGATGTTGATGGTGATGATAATGATGATGATGATGGTGATGATGATGATGATGATGATGATGATGACGATGATAATAACGATTACAATGATTATGATGATATTACAAGACTGATAAGGATACCCCACAAAAATAAATAAACAAACAAACCAAAAGAGGGACAGGAAAAGCGAATAGACAGACTAGTCTGAGAGGATGTGAAGACATACACAACCGGAAGTAACTCTTCTCAAGAAGACAGAGTGAAGAAGACAGACCGGAAGTGGTTGTACTCACGTGCGCGGCGGATGAAGGCAGTGGTGGTATGTGCGTGCCGATCGTCTGCAGGCTGACCCTCAAGGTCGCAGGTCATGTCTATCGATAGATGACTCTCGGGGGATTTCATCACAGGACTCAACAGGTGCGCCCCCTCGCCAGCCTCTGTTAGAAACATTACGTGAAGGTTTAGGTGCGTGTTACTCTTACACAACTTGGCGACTCAGAGCTTGGCAATTTTGCACGCATCACGCTATCGGAAGTGACAACCAAAAACCGCAATTTCTTTCTCGATCAAGGTAAAATTAATATCATATTTTGATCAAAAGGAGTTTGGCACTTGTGGTGTTGTTTACAGTTAGATTGCGATATCTGCACCTTTTTAACTAAGAAATATGATTTCAAGAAACCTCTAGTTAGTCCATTTTTGTTAAGAAGACAATGGGTTTTTTCCCCCAGCCCCAGCTCCCAGATGGTGCCTCGAGTCAACAGGTGATAAAGATGATAGCCTGTCGTAGATACTAAGTCAAGGCATTACAAGATTGGATGAACACTCCTGTCCCCCCCCCCCCCCCCCCCCCCCCCCCATCCTTGCTTTCCTAGTCTCGTGCCATCCAAACCTACCTGTCTTAGGTATCAAAGTGCTGCGTGTCTCGCCCGCTTTACTGCTAGCCGTGTCTCTTCCTTACCTTCCTCCTCTTTCTTCTTCTTCTTCTTTTTCTTCTTCTTCTTCTTCTTCTTCTTCTTCTTCTTCTTCTTCTTCTTCTTTCTTCTTGTTATACTTCTTCTTCTGTATCTTTTTCTTCTTCTTTTTCTTCTTCTTCTTCTTTTTTGTTTTGTTTTTTGTTCGTCTTCTTCTACTTTTCTTTTTCTTCGTCTACTATTATTACTGCGGCTGCTGTGTCTTCTTCCGCTGCTGCTAATCTTCTTCTTCTGCTAACACTTCTACTACTACTGCTACTAATACTACTACAATTACTACTGATACTACTACAATTACTACTGATACTACTACAATTACTACTGATACTACTACAATTACTACTGATACTACTAATACTACTAACACTACTAACACTACTACTACTACTACTGCCCCTACTACTGCTACTACTACTAATACTACTACAATTACTACTGCTACTACTACTAATACTACTACAATTACTACTGCTACTACTACTACTACTACTAATACTACTACAATTACTACTGATACTACTAATACTACTAACACTACTAACACTACTACTACTACTACTGCCCCTACTACTGCTACTACTACTAATACTACTACAATTACTACTGCTACTACTACTACTAATACTACTACAATTACTACTGATACTACTAATACTACTAACACTACTAACACTACTACTACTACTACTACTAATACTACTACAATTACTACTGATACTACTAATACTACTAACACTACTAACACTACTACTACTACTACTACCCCTACTACTGCTACTACTACTAATACTACTACAATTACTACTGCTACTACTACTAATACTACTACAATTACTACTGCTACTACTACTACTAATACTAATACTACTACAATTACTACTGATACTACTACTACTTCTCCTCCTCTTCCTCTTTCTTCATCTTTTTCTTCTGCTTTCGCCCTGAAAAGTGCAGTTTGCACATTATATTGTGATTTACAGCTAATGTGTTACATCTAGAGAACTCACCTATCAGTCTGAGGACCAAGTACTCAGCCCTAGGGTGGTCAGCGATGAAGCTGAAGCCCAAACACACAACTCCGTCCTCGCTGTCCTTGTACTTTCGTTTCCTGGCCATTGGGAAACAGGGTACACTGTCAGCATCATTTCAGTCAACTCTGCATTCTCTCAGTCAACTCCACATGCTCTCAGGCAACTCAGCATTATCACAGTCAACTCAGCATTATCACAGTCAACTCAACATTATCTCAGTCAACTCCGCCTCACTTCAGTCAACTCCGCCTCATTTTAGTCAACTCCGCTTCATCTCAGTCAACTCCGCCTCATCTCAGTCAACTCCGCCTCATCTCAGTCAACTCCGCCTTATCTTAGTCGACTACGCCTTATCTCAGTCAACTCCGCCTCATCTGAGTCAACTTAGCATCCTCTCAGTCAACTCTGCATCATCTCAGTCAACTCATCCTCTCAGTCAACTTAGCATCCTCTCAGTCAACTCTGCATCCTCTCAGTCAACTCTGCATCCTCTCAGTCAACTCTGCATCATCTCAGTCAACTCAACATCATCTCAGTCAACAACTCTGCATCCTCTCAGTCAACTCAACATCATCTCAGTCAACTCTGCATCATCTTAGTCAACTCTGCATCCTTCAGTCAACTCTGCATCCTTCAGTCAACTCTGCATCATCTTAGTCAACTCTGCATCCTTCAGTCAACTCTGCATCCTCTCAGTCAACTCAACATCATCTTAGTCAACTCTGCATCATCTCAGTCAACTCTGCATCATCTCAGTCAACTCTGCATCCTCTCAGTCAACTCTGCATCATCTCAGTCAACTCTGCATCATCTCAGTCAACTCTGCATCATCTCAGTCAACTCTGCATCATCTCATCAACTCTGCATCCTCTCAGTCAACTCAACATCCTCTCAGTCAACTCACTAGGGAATCTTTGTCACGCCAGGTGAAAAGGTGGGAGGTGGGGGCGTGCGCATGGGGTAAATGATACTAAATCCCTAATTTTATAGACAATCGAAACTCGATAGGTGCTGTGATCACCATCTCACTAGCCGCCTTTACTTCCCACCACTTTACCCGCTACATCTTAGGCTCTGTCGATGTGTGAAAGGGTCAACATCCAGCCAGCCGCCTTTACTTCCCACTCATTTCCTGTCCACCTTTTTCAAAAAGGCTCAACGTGGTCGCTAAACTAAACATCATGTTGATTAGTTTATTCGTGTCCATTGTTTGTTATTTAAAATTTATCACGTCAGTTGTAGCTGGGGAAGTAAAGGCGATCGGTATAAGGTGGATGACATTACCAACTGAAAGTCCAGTAATATACAATTGTGGAAGTAGGGCCAGGCCACATTGCATAATTAAACTGGTCATGTGTTTGAATTTCGATCAAGTATGATTTCAAAACTGATTTCCATGTCGTTATTTACGTATCCTTGACTGAATGCTGCAAAACCAACCCCAGCATTTTATGGCATTTTGTGGTTTTATACGGACAGATCCCCACCCCTACTCTCAGCAAGTAGATATTCCTCTACCCTGAGCAAGTAGATATTTCCCTACCTCAACAAGTAGATATTCCCCTACCTCAACAAGTAGATATTCCCTTACCTCAACAAGTAGATACTCACCTAACTCAACAAGCAGATATTCCCCTACCTCAACAAAGTAGATATTCCCCTACCTCAACAAGTAGATATTCCCCTAACTCAACAAGCAGATATTCCCCTACCTCAACAAAGTAGATATTCCCCTACCTCAACAAGTAGATATTCCCCTAACTCAACAAGCAGATATTCCCCTAACTCAACAAGTAGATATTCCCCTAACTCAGCAAGTAGATATTCCCCTACCTCAACAAGCAGATAGTCCCCTACCTCAACAAGTAGATATTCCCCTACCTCAACAAGTAGATATTCCCCTACCTCAACAAGTAGATATTCCCCTACCTCAACAAGCAGATAGTCCCCTACCTCAACAAGTAAATATTCCCTAACTCAACAAGCAGATAGTCCCCTACCTCAACAAGCAGATAGTCCCCTACCTCAACAAGAAGATAGTCCCCTACCTCAACAAGTAGATAGTCCCCTACCTCAACAAGCAGATAGTCAACTTCCTCAGCAAGTAGATTTTCCTTTACCTCAAAAAGTAGATATTCACCTACCTAAACAAGTAGATATTCCCCTACCTCAGAAAGTAGATATTCCCCTTCCTCAGCAAGTAGATTTCCCCCTACCTCAGCAAGTAGATATTAACCTACCTCAGCAAGTAGATTTCCCCCTACCTCAGCACGTAGATATTCCCCTACTTCAACAAGTAGATATTCCCTTACCTCAGCAAGTAGATATTCCTCTACCTCAACAAGTAGATATTCCCCTACCTCATCAAGTAGATATTTCCCTACCTCAAGAAGTAGATAGTCCCCTACCTCAGCAAGCAGATATTTCCCTACCTCAGCAAGTAGATATTCCCCTATCTCAACAAGTAGATTTTCTATCACCTTAACAAGTAGATATTCCCCTACCTCAACAAGTAGATATTCCCCTACCTCAACAAGTAGATATTGCCTACCTCAACAAGTAGATATTGCCTACCTCAACAAGTAGATATTCCCCTGCCTCAACAAGTAGACATTGCCCTACCTCAACAAGTAGATATTGCCTACCTCAACGAGTAGATTTTGCCCTACCTCAACAAATAGATATTGCCTACCTCAACGAGTAGGTATTGCCCTACCTGAACAAGTAGATATTGCCCTACCTCAGCAAGTAGATATTGCCCTACCTCAACAACTAGATATTGCCTACCTCAGCAAGTAGATATTGCCCTACCTCAGCAAGTAGATATTGCCCTACCTAAACAAGTAGATATTGCCCTACCTAAACAAGTAGATATTGCCCTACCTAAACAAGTAGATATTGCCTACCTCAACAAGTAGATATTGCCCTTGTTCTCCACACAGGCGTACTTGACGACCTTGGTGGAGCCTTGCTTGTAGACCACGTGATGTGCCCTGATCCTGACGTAGACACGGGGGTCGTCATCTAGGAAGTTCCACTTGTCCCTAAGTCGTGGGTGGGTCACACAGGCTGTGGGGAAGGGGAGTGTAAATGTTGTCTCAAATCAACAAGTCAATCTGTTAATCACCGCTGCACGTCAACCAGTCAATTATTTAATCACAGTCACACGTGAAGTAGACAATCATTGTTGCACCTCAAGGAGACAATCACTGTTGCACGTCAAGTAGACAATCACAGTCGCACGTCAAGTAAACAATCACTGTTGCACGTCAAGTAGACAATCACTGTTGCACGTCAAGTAGACAATCACTGTTGCACGTCAAGTAGACAATCACAGTCGCACGTCAAGTAAACAATCGCAGTCGCACGTCAAGTAAACAATCACTGTTGCACGTCAAGTAGACAATCACTGTTGCACGTCAAGTAGACAATCACTGTTGCACGTCAAGTAGACAATGACTGTTGCACGTCAAGTAGACAATCACAGTCGCACGTCAAGTAAACAATCGCAGTCGCACGTCAAGTAAACAATCACTGTTGCACGTCAAGTAGACAATCACTGTTGCACGTCAAGTAGACAATCACTGTTGCACGTCAAGTAGACAATGACTGTTGCACGTCAAGTAGACAATCACAGTCGCACGTCACGTAAACAATCACAGTCGCACGTCAAGTAAACAATCACTGTTGCACGTCAAGTAGACAATCACTGTTGCACGTCAAGTAGACAATCATAGTTACACGTCAAGTAGACAATCACAGTTACACGTCAAGTAGACAATCACAGTCGCACGTAAAGTAGACAATCACTGTTGCGTTTCAACCAGTCAGTCTGTTGATCTGTTTCGCACGTAAACCAATCAATCAGTGTTTCATCTCAAATAGCAAGTCATCATTCGGTGTCAACCGGTTGATCAGTGATTCACTATCTTATGTCAACTGTTCTGTCAGTGTCTCTAGTCAACTGGTCAATCTGTGATTTAGTCTCATGACAACCAGTCAGTGTCTTATGCCAAACAAGACAATCAGTCTCAAGTAAGTCAGTCAGTCAGTCAATCAGTGCATTTCTCAGGTCTGCTGTATGGGTTACTCACATCAATCATTCAAACAGTATTTCCACCTATCAATCTATTTTAATAAAATGTGTTTGTTAAATATAGACTCGGACAGTACTGAACCGATTGCTTTCAATTTTTCACACAACGTTGCCTCAGACTCAAAGCTTTTTTTTTTTTTTTTTTTTTTTTGGTCATAAAATCGCACAAACCACGAACGACGTAGCTCCAGCAACGCTAAAATCATTATTTGTTTCCTTGCCGCCCGCATTTGTTTTTGGTTGATTGGCCACCTTCGACTGCTCAGCAGGGCTGCCAATAGATGCCTTTTCCCCAGGATCAATCTCCAACATTTCTTTACCGATCGCTTTCAAATTTTCACACAACGTTGCCTTCGACTCCGCGCATGTTTGTATGTATGAGTTTTGCACAAACCACGAATGACATAGCTCCAGCAACGATCATTTCATTAGTGGTTTCATTGCCGGCCCGGATTCGTTTTTAGTTGTTGCCATCTTTGACTCTGTGTGTGACGCCGAACTTCACAATATTATATAATTTTATTTCCACTAAATGCTTGAATAGTTTTTAGCGTAGTTAGTTGTATGCATTTCGCCTTTCACGCGATAGGCGTTAGATTCCCCGCTGGGTGATATAATATTTTTTGGGGGGGGGGGGGGGGGGAGGCCCTAACGTGGCTGCCACGTTATGTTGTGGTTTATAGCTAGGTTGCAATATCTACGCCTTTTATTTTCGCTTGATTTTGGGATTTACAGCTAGCCTGCGATAGCGGCGACGCGATGCTCAATGTTCATGTTACGGGTAATATTCGTTTGCACATGAGAAGGTGGTTGGCACGTTGTGTTGTGGTTTACAGCTAGGTTGCGATATCTGCGCCTTACGCCCAAAGACATCCGATTTTAGTTAAGTCCAAATTAGCCTCCCCTCGACGCATCACTTGATCAAAAACTATTCGTTGATGACAGACACTGTAAACTTACACGGCTTACGGTCCAGTTTGGTTTGGGTCGACACGGATGCCAAGTAAAAAAAAAAAGTAAAGATCCCTTTCCACGCCTTTCGGCGCATCGGGCATATGGGCAGAGAGTCCCATATTTTTACAGACCATCAGCACTCTGTGGGTAATCAGCATTACGCCGGCTGTCTTTACTTTCCCAGGACAGCCCATCCTGGTACCCATTTTAGGCTGGGTCGACCTGCGACATCCCATACCACGACAAAAATCCACGCAGCCTGCAGTGGGTTTCGATCGCGGTATGCTGGCTTACGAGTCGTACTCGCAACGCCTTAGCCACGGACGCCGCACGGAAGCCAAGGCTAATTAAAAATCGTCCCCTCGGAAAGGGAGAGATGACGAGTGCGGGTTTTTACAATAGTGTACTTTTTTTTCAATCACCGAATATTACTGTTGGTTCCACCACTGGTTAGGTGATGGAGTTTTATGTCGGGGGCACACATAAACAGTCCGTGACGACAGCATGCGGCGCCAACTCTTCTGGCTACAGCGACCTGTACAAACAGTAGTGACCGTTTCGTGTTGTTGTTGTTGTTGTTGTGACGGTGGTGGTGGTAGTGGTAGCACTAGTACTGGTACCCGATGGGTGATGTGGTAGCTGTTACACTGGCCACATTTACTTCTCAGTACAGATTAATGCTACCCATTTAAGTCTGGGTGGACACGAATGCCACGTTCAATTTAACCACAATATTTCGCCAGGCAAAGACTTTCCCATACTTCGTAGAGGATGATATGAGAGAATAATGAGGGATTTAAAGAAAGTCCATGTGTTGGGCTAATGTCGCTACTTAGTTGGAAACCACCACCTATGTGGCAACTTCCAATTTATGGGCGAAAAAAGAGGAGAAAGTTGTCATTCCAAAACATTCGTATAGTTCACACACTCAACAGTTAAAAAACTCAATCCGTATAGTTTACAAACTCAACCTATATAGTTCACGAACTCAACCCGTATAGTTCTCAAAACTATCCCGTATCGTTCCAAAATTTGACCTGTATAGTTTACAAACTCAGTCTGTATAGTTGCTAAACTCAACCCATATAGTTCACAAACTCAACCCGCATAGTTCTCAAAATCAACCCCTATCGTTCCTAAACTCGACCCGTATTGTTCACAAACTCAGTCTGTATAATTCCTAAACTCAACCCATATAGTTCACAAACTCAACCCGCATAGTTCTCAAAACCAACCCGTATCGTTCTTAAACTCGACCCGTAAAGTTCACAAACTCAGTCCGTATAGTTCACAAACTGACCCCGTATAGTTCACAAATGTCGCTCAACAAACAAAGTCACTCACTAGAATGTCTTCGTCGTCTGCGACTGCTAAACTTGACCTGTATAGTTTACAAACTCAGTCTGTATAGTTGCTAAACTCAACCCATATAGTTCACAAACTCAACCCGCATAGTTCTCAAAATCAACCCCTATCGTTCCTAAACTCGACCCGTATAGTTCACAAACTCAGTCTGTATAATTCCTAAACTCAACCCATATAGTTCACAAACTCAACCCGCATAGTTCTCAAAACCAACCCGTATCGTTCTTAAACTCGACCCGTAAAGTTCACAAACTCAGTCCGTATAGTTCACAAACTGACCCGTATAGTTCACAAATGTCGCTCAACAAACAAAGTCACTCACTAGAATGTCTTCGTCGTCTGCGACTTCTAAACTTGACCTGTATAGTTTACAAACTCAGTCTGTATAGTTGCTAAACTCAACCCATATAGTTCACAAACTCAACCCGCATAGTTCTCAAAATCAACCCCTATAGTTCCTAAACTCGACCCGTATTGTTCACAAACTCAGTCTGTATAATTCCTAAACTCAACCCATATAGTTCACAAACTCAACCCGCATAGTTCTCAAAACCAACCCGTATCGTTCTTAAACTCGACCCGTAAAGTTCACAAACTCAGTCCGTATAGTTCACAAACTGACCCCGTATAGTTCACAAATGTCGCTCAACAAACAAAGTCACTCACTAGAATGTCTTCGTCGTCTGCGACTGCTAAACTTGACCTGTATAGTTTACAAACTCAGTCTGTATAGTTGCTAAACTCAACCCATATAGTTCACAAACTCAACCCGCATAGTTCTCAAAATCAACCCCTATCGTTCCTAAACTCGACCCGTATAGTTCACAAACTCAGTCTGTATAATTCCTAAACTCAACCCATATAGTTCACAAACTCAACCCGCATAGTTCTCAAAACCAACCCGTATCGTTCTTAAACTCGACCCGTAAAGTTCACAAACTCAGTCCGTATAGTTCACAAACTGACCCCGTATAGTTCACAAATGTCGCTCAACAAACAAAGTCACTCACTAGAATGTCTTCGTCGTCTGCGACTGCTAAACTTGACCTGTATAGTTTACAAACTCAGTCTGTATAGTTGCTAAACTCAACCCATATAGTTCACAAACTCAACCCGCATAGTTCTCAAAATCAACCCCTATCGTTCCTAAACTCGACCCGTATAGTTCACAAACTCAGTCTGTATAATTCCTAAACTCAACCCATATAGTTCACAAACTCAACCCGCATAGTTCTCAAAACCAACCCGTATCGTTCTTAAACTCGACCCGTAAAGTTCACAAACTCAGTCCGTATAGTTCACAAACTGACCCCGTATAGTTCACAAATGTCGCTCAACAAACAAAGTCACTCACTAGAATGTCTTCGTCGTCTGCGACTGCTAAGTGGATTGGTTAGCAGGAGGCACGTGACCACAAGAATCCATAGAGAGGCTGGCATTGTTCACATGGCGCGTTCGGGTCACTTGATCATCGTGGTCTTCGGCTGCAAAATAGAATTTTACAAGAAAGAATCGGGTCGATGAAACAGAATTAATCCAGCACTTTGTAAACCACATTACACTCACACAGCCGCTCGTGCGTTGCATGTCAGGTTACCAGTGACAACAACGTCCCATAGCTACGCGGATGACATTTAGAGTGGTTACTAAAGTGTGAAGGGCACTGATGTTTAGCAAATTAGCAGAGAAATCGCGCATTTATCACACCAAGTACTGCTCCAACCGTTTAATGGCTGCCCCTGTCACGTACAGTGCCCCCCTTCCACGCGTTACCGTATTTAGTGCACAAACAAAGCTGTCACTACTGGGAGACAAACTCTTTGAATGGTCTGGACTGTGGAGTGAAAGACTGGGTTAGGACATTAAGAGGAAAGTGGGGAAGGAGAAGAAGGAATGAGATGTAGAAGATTTAGTGAAAGAAGGAAAGAGAGAACAATAAAACAAAGAACGAACTTAATTTTGAAAATTGAAGAGGCAGGTAGGGAAACGGGTGGGTGCTAGGTGCTATAAAGTCTGACTGGGTACCTCGATACAAGCGAGGATATATGTGAGGTCGTGAAAGGTTTGTGTGAGTGCTTGTCGATGTGTGTTAGCAGCTTTCTGCAAGTGGACTGGTGTGAGAGCAATCGTGAATATTGATATATGTGAGGTAAGCAATTACGTGTACGTATGTGTGGGGAAAGAAATGGGGCGTGCGAATGTGTGTGAGAAAGTGTGATATGACAGCCATGTGTATCTAAGTGTGAGAAAGTGTCTGAGACAGCAATCATAAGTTTGTGTGGGTGAGAAAGTGTGTGAGACAGCAAACATGGAAGAGAAAGTGTGTGGGTGAGAAAGTGTGTGAGACAGCAAACATGGAAGAGAAAGTGTGTGGGTGAGAAAGTGTGTGAGACAGCAATCGTAAATATGTGTGGGTGAGAAAGTTTATGAGACATCAGTCATGAGTATGTATGGGTGAGAAAGTGCGTGAGACAGCAATCAGGAGTATGTGTGGGTGAGAAAGTGTGTGAGACAGCAATCATAAGTTTGTGTGGGTGAGAAAGTGTGTGAGACATCAATCATGAGTATGTGTGGGTGAGAAAGTGTGTGAGACAGCAATCATAAGTTTGTGTGGGTGAGAAAATGTGTGAGACAGCAATCATGAGTATGTGTGGGTGAGAAAGTGTGTGAGTCAGCAGACATTAAGGTGTTCGATTTTTTTTTTTTTTTTTTTGCAAGGAAGTTTATGCGAGAACAATCACCCGTGTGTCTATGTGTGAAAGAGAGAAAGGAGGGAGAGAAAGAGGATGAGAGAGAGGGAGAGGATTGTATGTATATTTGGAAGCACGTATTTGAGAGAGAGGGAGAGAGGGGCTAGAGAGGGGAGAGAGAGGGGAGAGAGAGTGAGGTAGAGAGGTAGAGAGGGAGAGAGTGAGAGATTGAGGGAGAGAGAGGGAGAAAGACGGAGAGGGGGGGAGAGAAAGGAGAGAGAGGGGGGAGAGTGAGATAAAGAATCGTATGCATGTTTGGAAGCACGTTTATGAGAGAGGGAGAGAGTGAGAGATTGAGGGAGAGAGTGGGAGAGAGATGGAGAGAGAGAGAGAAAGAAAAAGAATTGTATGCATGTTTTTAAGCTCGTTTATGAGAGGGGTGGAGAGTGGGCGGGCGAGAGAGAAGGAGAGAGAGATTGAGGGAGAGAGAGGGAGAGAGAATCGTATACATGTTTGGAAGCACGTTTATGAGAGAGAGGGAGAGACAGGGTGTAAGAAAGAGTGAAAGAGAGAGAGTGAGGGAGAGAGAGGTAGAGAGAGGGGAGAGTGTGAGAGACTTAGAGAGAGGGGAGAGAAAGGGACAGATGCGGAGAGGGGGAGAGAGAAAGGGAGAGAGAGACAGGGAGAAGAAGAAAATCTTATGTATGTTTGGAAGCCTGTTATAAGAGAGAGAGAGAGAGAGAGAGAGAGAGAGAGAGAGAGAGAGGGGGGGATATATAGGGAGGGAGGGAGAGAGAAATCGTATGCGTGTTTGGAAGCAGGTTAATGTGTGAGTGTGTGAGTGAGAGAGAGAGAGAGAAAGAGAGAGAGAGAAAGAAAGAGAGAGAGAGAGAGAGAGAGAGAGAGAGAGAGAGAGAGAGAGAAAGAGCCTGAATCTCAGGACGGATGTAGAGCAACAGGTCTACCATCGATGTGATTGGCTCATTTAGCCTGCTCCATGAGTTGAGTTCAGTTAAAAATTGACATCACAGCACTCAAGGAATTTCCATATTCGCTCCGTCCCCAACTTCAGCAGCCAGCGCAGAGTTCAACCACTGATGGTACAGGTTATGGTATATGTCTGGGTATATGTCCGTCTTGCTATTCCTCCGAGTGCAGTGAGCCGGCCGGACCCTCTGGCCACGCCTAGGTGCCTTAATCTCTTCAGGCCATAAGAATCCAGCTTCTCTTCTGACTTTGTTACATGTTCCCAACGTCTGTTACAATTATGACATGTGTATGCATCTTGTTCTCTAGTCACCGAAAAGTTGCAGCGACCGCCTCCACCTCCATTCTCGTGCTAGATGTTGTGGTATCGTATGCTAGGCTGTCCTGCACTAAAGATTTTCCATTGGCTTTGCTACCCCCCCCCCCCCCCCCCCCCCCCGCACATCTCTTTCCTTTCAACACCGAACCATTTGTATAGATAATCAGAGCATCTGGGTGTGAATTGTCGTGAATCAACTGTTGAACTTCTACCTAAGTAGCCCCCGCTGGCCACTCTGTGCACTTTGACTACACATACAGCAGAAGACCTTTAGTGGCGCATAGATTGTTTTGCATCCGCCTGCAGAGATTGTGGGCCGACCATCAATCAACCTTGTGGGCTGACCATCAATCAACCTTGTGGGCCGACCATCAATCAGCCTTGTGGGCCGACCACTAATCAGCCTAAATAAAACACAGGTGATTGGACAAGACTGGCGGACTAACAGAGTCAACACATTTTTGTGTATATTTTTTCAATGGATCAACATCATGGCACACAGGTATAACCCATAAGTTCTCCGTTCTTCTTTCAACTCAAGTCTGTCTGAAGAATCTCAGCGCAGTGCACAAACTCCGTAGCACCGGCGAGGATCCTGAAATAAGTTGAGCTACTCTTTTTCGATTTCCAACTGCCAGGGGATTTTTCACCTGCGCAACAATACACACAGGCGTCCGGTCTTACTACCCAAAGACCAGGAGATACTAGAAATCCGGGTGAGAAAAAATCCCAGCCTTCACCGGGGCTTGAACCCGGGACCTCTAGAACTCGAGGCGAACACCATGCCTCGAGGCCTGCAGCCTCTCTGCACAAAAGTGCATGTCTATAAAGCAAGTGTTGTGGCTGCACTACTCTGTGAGTCTGAATCCTGGAACTTGTAGTCACAATCTGGACCTTGTAGTCACAACCTGGAACTTGTAGTCACAACCTGGAACTTGTAGTCACAACCTGGAACTTGTAGTCACAACCTGGAACTTGTAGTCAGAACCTGGAACTTATAGTCACAACCTGGAACTTGTAGTCACAACCTGGAACTTGTAGTCACAACCTGGAACTTGAAGTCACAACCTAGAACTTGAAGTCACAACCTGGAACTTGTAGTCACAACATACAAGAAAATCGAACTCCCTGCACATGTGATGTATGAGATGCTTCCTGTGCATATCATGAAAGGGCAAAATAACATAGAGACTACTGCTTGGAAGAGCTGATGATCTCACAGTGCACTCTCTCCTCAGGCTAAACAATCTTTGGGTGCCTGGGCTAGGCATTGATCACGAAGCATGGACGAGTTCTGAAAGATCTCAAGGGGAACACCACATATGGGATTTAACGAAGTCTGTAACCAGGACGCCCTTGGCACATATACACAAACGTGTGAGAGACTTAAAGTTTACACACACACAAACATGTAAGATACGTGAAGCTTACAGATACACGAACATGTAAAAGACGTAAAGCTGACAGATACACAAAACGTGTGAGAGACGTAAAGCTGACAGATACACATTCATGTGAGAGACTTGAAGCTGACAGATACACAAACATGTGAGAGACTTGAAGCTGACAGATACACAAACGTGTGAGAGACGTAAAGCTGACAGATACACAAACATGTGAGAGACTTGAAGCTGACAGATACACAAACATGTGAGAGACTTGAAGCTGACAGATACACAAACGTGTGAGAGACGTAAAGCTGACAGATACACAAACATGTGAGAGACGTAAAGCTGACAGATACACAAACATGTGAGAGACTTGAAGCTGACAGATACACAAACATGTGAGCTGAGATACACAAACGTGAGAGAAAGCTGACAGATACACAAACATGTGAGAGACTTGAAGCTGACAGATACACAAACGTGTGAGAGACGTAAAGCTGACAGATACACAAACGTGTGAGAGACGTAAAGCTGACTGATACACAAACATGTGAGAGACTTGAAGGTGACAGATACACAAACGTGTGAGAGACGTAAAGCTGACAGATAAACAAACATGTGAGAGACGTAAAACTGACAGATACACAAACATGTGAGAGACTTGAAGCTGACAGATACACAAATGTGTGAGAGACGTAAAGCTGACAGATACACAAACATGTGAGAGACTTGAAGCTGACAGATACACAAACGTGTGAGAGACGTAAAGCTGACAGATACACAAACATGTGAGAGAGGTAAAGCTGACAGATACACAAACATGTGAGAGACTTGAAGCTGACAGATACACAAACGTGTGAGAGACGTAAAGCTGACAGATACACAAACATGTGAGAGACGTAAAGCTGACTGATACACAAACATGTGAGAGACTTGAAGGTGACAGATACACAAACGTGTGAGATACGTAAAGCTGACAGATACACAAAAATGTGAGAGACGTAAAGCTGACAGATACACAAACATGTGAGAGACTTGAAGCTGACAGATACACA